TTATTCAACTAACCAAGTGGATCTTGAGTTAGTGATGAATTCGCAAGTCCTCCAAAAAAAATGTGTCCTTGCCTTATAATTTGATTTCCGCTTGAAAGGGAAATAAACGTTGTTCAAAGAAAAATTAATGGATTTCAATTTATAACTCCACGATTACCATAGTGTTGACGTCAAAACAAAAAAAAGGTAGTAAGTAACTAGCTGCAAATTTTGGATGAAATCGAATTTATAAGTTTTCACGTGAAGAAGAAACTAAAAATTCTCAAATTGTGTTTGTGTGATCTAGTATGAACAAAAGAGTTAAGAAGTGATCACAAACTGTGTTTGTGTGAATTTTGGTGAAAAATGAAAGATATTCTAAGCTAACAAATCAGTGTTGTTGATCCGATCTAAGTTTGGGAAATGTGGGAATTTGGTTGAAGTTAAGAAGAGCGTATAAATTAGGATCTAGGAGAAGTCGTAGGGTGGGATTTGGTGTTATTCAAATTACCAAACACACTCAACAAGCATACTAGCTTATCTATTTGATTAAATTAAAGTATGTGATACTATTTATAAATATATAATTACGTCTATAAAATATTATAGATTCTTCAGAAGGTTGTCTGTGTTTGTAGCAAATTAAACTAAATTAACAGAAATGAAGACATGAAGTGGCGAATCTGAGATTACAAAACAATATTAATGTATTAATATAACGACAAATAAAACATAGGAAGTGTTTGGTTTCTTTAACCTTACGCAATGTTTTAATTAGTTTGAGCTCTTCCCGATACCTAATTGGGAGTTGTAAAATTCAGTCCTCAGCCAAACCCTTTTGTGGCTCACTCTACTTCTTGTGTTGCGCCACACATATACATCACACAATTTTTTTTTTTTTGTCAAAGTTTCTTAATTCCATTAAACCGTAGAGAAAGCTAAACCGGTGTGATTCGGTTTAGTGTATAAGACTGATTTTGATAAACCATCAGCCAAAGAGTTTTTATCTCTTGAAACAAAAAAAAAACGATAGAGCGGAAACCTAGTGCGATCTTGAGAATATCTTGGACGATTCCGTAGATTTCCAAGTGAAAACTGTTGGAGTTAATAAGCGATATCACCCATATACATAGTTTTCTTTTGTTTTTCAAAAAACAAATATGGAAAATAAATTTACTAA